CTTACTGGTCGATCGAACGATCGCTACAAGTAATGGCTCGTGGCATTCGGTTTCACTCGCACGACTCGCTACCAGAGAATGAACGAAACGTGCAAGTGTACATCTATATCGCGGTGCCGCTGAAAAATGTCAAGGCGACAGAGCGAACCTCAGACGCGCACCTCTGGACTAACAGTGTTCGCAAATATGAAATCAACCAAGAGCTGATCAAGCTACTAGCTAGCGTCTCGATCGAGTGCCCTCGATTTAACAATAAGGATAACTTTGATTGCTTCAGTTGCACTCCTAAGAACGGAGAGCCGCTGTATATCAACGATCTTAATAAGGACATGAAATATCCGTCTCCGTGCAAGCGCAATCTCAAACCAGTTCACGCGAAGGAGATCAAGCTAAACGACGATCTTTACTATCTGACTGACGATAAGCGAGTCTTCACGCGCGTTACGGACGAGACTTACAATCAGATCATGGATCAAGATATTAAGTAATGGATCGTAGCGCGTGTACCACAAACAGCAATCGCTTAGCTTGCTAACTATCGATCGCACTATTCAATAGTTCTTCCATACGCTTAATCAAGAACTACAGCAATTGCTATATAGTAGGCGACTATGAACAGCCCGTCACACCAAGCGCATTCAGTTTCAAAGCTGGAACAAATATTTCGCGCAGGCTGCATCTCGCTAGAGAACCCACCTAAGCTTGATCAAGTCTTTCTCCTAACTCCGGAGATGGCTGAACGGTTGAACAAGGCGTTTGCGAGAAACCGCGTAGCGCATCTGTGATGCAAAGCGATCTGTTCGCGAAAGTCACATTGCAAAATTCATCATGACAACAAGGTGCACCGGCATTTCACTCTGCAGAAAGAAAGAGGTGCTGGACTGGGTCAACACTTCTGGAGGAGGAATTCCAAGTCGTGCTGTCGCTCATAAAGAGGTGCTGGACTGGGTCAACACTTCTGGAGGAGGAATTCCAAGTCGTGCTGTCGCTCATATCGGCGCGCAAGACTGGAAACTAGACGCCGGTACAGTCCGACGTTGGTGGCGTAAGCGTGACGAGATTTGGGCGGCGCAACCCCATCAAATGAGACTGGCCGGTGGAGGCCGCAAAAAGGCGTTAGGCGAGCTTGTAGACCTGCTTCTCGAATCTATCGTACTTCGAAGATTGAAGAAAGAAAAAGTGACAAGAGAATGGATCGCTATTCAGGCGCTACAAATCTATGCTAAAGTTGATAACTCAATGATCCGATCTTTTCAAGCCTCGTCTCACTGGGTGAGCAACTTCATGAAGCGTAATGATCTGTCTCTCCGACGTCGGACCAACCTTACTACTCTGAGTGACGACCAACTGGTTGACCGAGCCGTGTCATACATGAGATTCCTATCAGACAAGAAGAGATCTTTCAATTTTGCCAACACTGTTCTTATGGACGAGACAGCCGTCTACTTCGAAGACGCTCGTGAACAAACTGTTGAAGTACGCGGCAGTCGCCACGCTGTTGTAAAGTCCACAGGATTTGCCTCGATGCGTGTAACAGCCGTACTTGCCGTCACGGCTACGGGCGTGAAGCTACCACCCGCTAGTGATCTGGAAGCATAAGAAAGGATCACGAAAGATCGAGCGGCAAGGACCAACCTCTGTCGCGTACCAACCTAAAGCATGGGTTGATTCGGAGCTTCTCATGAACTGGATTGATACGGTGTTTCCTACAGTGCTGCAAGCGGATGGTAAAGAGCTTGTTGGGACAGCATGAGTGCTCACATATCCAACATTGTAAAGGCGAAGTGCTCGAAACGGAACATTGGTCTGTGCGTGATTACTGGGGGTCTCACCGCTTACCTACATGCTGGAGGTATTGGTATTTACAAGCAGTTCAAGGTCATTTTGTGTGCATTGATCGATGACTGGAAGAACTCCAACCGTGTAGAATACACGAGAGCAGGCAATCCGAGGCCCCCTAATGTTGAGGTGGTGGCTCAATGGGTCTACCAAGCGTGGAAGGAGACCGATCAGTCGCTCGTTGATAACTCTATCGCTAGCGCGGGGTTCTCCCCCATTCCTGACGAGTGGTTTATCTGGCGGCACGATGTCTACGGACGCAAGTTCCAGCAGCGCTGGGATGAAAATGAAGAAGAGCAGAAGGAAGACAACGATGAGGATTTCGAAGTCGACGCTGAACTAAGTAACGCTTTGGATGACATAGGAATTATCGATGATTAGCGCGGAGAGGCGGAAGGGTGGGATTGCACTCGAGCGGAGCAAGGAACGTTTTGTATTTGACTGCATTTTTTTCTTTTGAAATATACTCCGTTCACAACTAAGTGCTTTGAATTCGGTTTATAAACCCTCACCCATTTAAAAGCCCCCTCGTTAAAACCGATCGGATTCGAGGGGGCATTAATAAATAGAAGTCCGGGTACTATTCGGTAAAATCCGTTAGTGATCCTTCTGCTATCCGAACGCAAGTCAAATAAAGCGCCACACCAGTGGCTATCTACCAAGTGTAGCGGTACTAAATTCAGGTGATGCCCTTCTTGGAACGGATTGCCGACACTAACAGTGACGCGAGCAACACGGTCGCTAAGACGATGAAATAAGGAGTTCACAATGCCAACACCGTCATGATCCCGCTGAAGAAGTGTTATCCCATGGCCCATGGCACCGTCGTTCACCCATTTGTTTTCGCAAAACGAAAGCAGTTCACGATAGGGTAGACCTCCGAAAGGTGTCGATCGAGATCGACGGAGTGGAATACGCTTGTGACGTGGAGCGACCACGGAAAATCCGATCAAGTGTGACTAGGAGCCGGATGATCCATTGAAAGGCGAAGATGGGTGCAAGACGTTTCGCACTTGGTGTGACGAACATACCAGTTGAAGTTGGCTGCATGAACCAAACCCTACCCTACACCTCGATCTTCGATCAACGAGAAGGACCTCGATTATCGATCATCGATCATAGATCATCGATCAACGAGAAGTGCTTCGATCAACGACCATCGATCAACAGGGTACCATGTTTACGACACATGTAGGTACAGTTCAGGATGAGTGGTTGTAGAGATAGGATAGGGAAAGGTAGGTAGACTTCTAAATATTCTTTGGACCTCTCACATTGGACCCCCTCTGCTTTAGCCACGTGGCATAATCTACCAGGCTGGGAACGTATATTGGCCCACCTGACGACCGAGGAACCACCTCGCTGTGCTGCAGAACAACTCGTCGACACCTACGCAACTTGACTAGGCTCGACCAACCCCCCCAAAGATCCCGCTAACGGAAGCAGCAAGCAACGGTAAGGAATAAGAATACACGCAAGGACACGTAGATTGGTCATCTGATCTACCTCCATACCAGACAGCCGCTGAAGAAGTATCCGCGTGGCAGTCAACAATCCCAAGTACCTTCCATACGGTTCCCACGACCAACAACCAAGACATCCTCAAGTCACCGGGAGAGTGCAACCCCGCCCCACCGACGGGTACACAAGGTGAGCAGAACCTCAGTGTCAGTGGACATTCGGAGTACCCCCTCCGTTAGTCGGTCGTCCGAGGCACGGTAGCGAGCTGGACACCGGCAGTCAACATTTTCTGCTAACCCACTCCGCCACTATTGATCATCGCGTCCCGATCGACTGGAACGTCGCTGATACCGTCTGGAAGTTCCACTGGGACTCCAATCCGCTTGATGTTGTATTTTGTACCCAATCGATAGCCTGTTTTGTGTCGACCACGTACTCCATAGTGGTGTGCCACTTGGATGGCTTTGTCTGAATATATCCCAAATCGCGGAACTTTAACGCCGACTATGTCTCCAGAGACGTTATCACCGAGAGACTTTAGGAAGACCCTAATTGCAGATGTGGTGAAGTGCGATCAAGATCTCACGAGAAAGACAACCTCGGCTGCCAGATCGTGAGATAGAGACGAACCAGGCGACAGAAAACCAACTCCAAGCCAATATATCAAGTCGTCTCTTCAAGATCCAGCGTGCGACAACGCCGGTGAGAGATATTGACTTCGGATTGCCCAAGATTGACCCCTAGAATGATGGATGGCGACAACACCTGTGCCGCGACGCGAGAATGCAAGATCAAGGGGAATGGGTGGACATGAGTCGCTGTAGACCCGCGATCAGGGATCGTGGCGGATCAGCGGACATTGATTGACGGAAGATGACAACATTGGAGCCGCGCTTATCACAGATCAAGATGCGCTAGGTAAAGGCGATCCCTGGTCAAGGCAAGATGGCGATCCAGGGTCGGAGGAAGGAGCCGGGATGAGATCGTCGGGAGGCAGCCGTCATGCGCCCAGTCATGCGCCCCGGGATGAGTAGCAGCGACGAAGATCACCGCGTGACGACGACCAAGAAATGACTCAAGATCACAGGTTGAGATCCCCGATCGGGATCACGATCGCGATCGACAGATCCCAAGATGAGGTATGTATCCGAATGTCAGGTGATCGTAGGAAAGCAGCTGAGGATGGATTAGTGGATATAGGGATAAACGTAAACAGACTCGAATTTGCTCTAAGCTGCACAAGTGTCCGCCTACGCCAGGAATCGGGGAATAGTTTGGCCCCTCAAGCGCGCAGACGGTAAGGACATAGGATCTAGCGTAGCGGTTAAGCCTGGATAATATATTGGCCAGCTTTGCCCTACCTAGTGACTTGTCTTCAAGTGTTTACTGTTGATCGGAAGGCATTGATTGCTTGGCCTGAAGATCGTATCGGTTCTCAACACAACAAGTTCCCCGCTATTGGAAGCGGCAATCATATACAAGGAAGGAGCAAGATCTCTGTATTTGGCCTCCTAAAGACCTGGACCGACAACCAGGTAGCTCGATCGCGACTCAAGGGCTCGTCTGCGACCGAGATCGACCAACGCGAGGTAGAACGAAGAGTCCCAAGAAGATGTCAAGGTCAAAGAAGAACACAGGGAAGAAGTGCCTACGAATGCTAGATCGACGGAGGTATCGCAAGATCCACAGATCAGCCGAGTATGGAGAGAAGCTCTGCTGACATACACGAGGCGGACCTGGATCAAGACCCAGATCTTGAAGAAAAGCCTCGAATTCCTCTCAAGGCCGCCAAGACGGCCACCGCAGATCTCAATGAGAACCTAGATCTGTACACAACCAACAAGGAAACTACTAAATCGAAGTCCAATCCGTCCACCAAGTCGGTAGCCGCGACAAGATCGTCCAAGAAAAAGAAGATCAAGACCGCTCGGACGAAACTGAAGGCGCCGGATTTGGGATCGGGGGACGTGAATAAGCCGAGATCGACTATCGCCAAAGCCATGATCGAGCAGGCTTACTATCGGAAGATCCTGAGCGAGCCACCGCTGCAGGACCCTGTCCTCGGGATCATACAGGTCCGCCAGATCGGCGATCTGACAGGCCCGATATCCAAGCCCAACATCAGCACAGATATGCTGAATGCGGTGAAGATCTTGCTGGATCTTCTCCAGGAGACCGGACTAGTACCAGGAGAATTCGATCTGGATTCCCTTTTTGAGATGGAACTGGGAGCTATCCAAGCGGCGGCTCAAGATCTCTACGAATCGCTCAAGATCTTGGTCGGTGAACACGTACAAATGCCCGATCTGAACTACCAGACCGGGGAGTCACATTACGCATCGGCTACCTTGGAACCAGATTCAGATTCTCCGCGAGCATCGCAACGTATGTCGCTAGGCCCCTCGGGCGCTAAATACCTGAGATCACGCATGAACAGGCCGGATCAGCGACCAGCAGGACCGAATCAGCAGACCCCAGAGCCGATCGGCCGGAAAGGCGCCAGATCCCAGGAGTACGAACCACTCCGACGACCAAATCGACCGAATCTAGCAACAAACTGGACGAATACTTCCAGATGGCGATGAATCGATTCCTGAAGGAACAAAGCCTGGTGAAGGTCTAACCACCACCCCTCGGAACGCTGGATATCGACATGGAGTCAGTCGGCACCCCGGATCCAGACTCCTGGGGGTACGATTCCGACGATTCCGGTCCTCTGGTCATAATTCCGGCCGAGCTGCGGTCGCCACGGCGGTGATCGACTCTGGGGGTTTGTCGCTGATCCAAAGAGTCCGAATTGCGGCCATCTCAGATCTGAAGTAATTTACCGGGAAGGACATGGACGAAGATCGCGCTAGGGTGTGGATCGGCAAGGTGAAATCGGCGTTCCAGCGAGATCAAGCAACAGAAGAGGAGAAGTGCTTCGCGCTCTCATATCTGATGGCGGGCCCATCCAAGAACTAACACCGACGGTTAAGTCGGACCACCAAGACCAAATGGGCGGATTTACTCGAAAGTTTCCAGACCCAATACTGCGGTCTGGGTATGTCAATGGTATGGCAGTACTACCATGCCCGAAAAAGATCCGAGGAGACCCCGCTCGACTATCTCTATCGACCGAACGTGGCCGCCCTACGAGCCAAACTCAAGATCAAGGACGGAAATCCAAAGGCGCGCCGGGAACACGTCGATCATTACATCGAGACGTTGGGCGATCCCGAGTTGGCAGACCGCCTAACGCTATTACGATTGGCTGACGTCGACGAACTTGAAAAAGTTCTCCGTACGCGGGAACGAGCCAAGAGCAGGCAACGCAGATTCGCGTTCGGGTCGAAATTTCGACAGAAGGCCCCGGCCAGCGCCCGGCCGCGCCAGCCCGTGCCATGGTACGCGCGATCCAGGCGCAGGATCCGAGCTCCAAGTCAGAAGGGGTCTCCGGATCTGACGGATCCGACTCGGAAGGCAAACGGCGAAGGACCTTCCTCGCCGCGGCAGATGAGAAGTTGACCAGCACTGGGGGCGCCTCGCAAAACTCAGATCCAGCGCGATCCCGAACGAAAGCATCTGAGGGAGGCTGGATCCCCGATCGTCCCAAGGAGGGAGACAGAGATCACCAAGATCGAGACCGCTGTTTTCATTATGGGTCCAGGAAACACACGGATCTGGATTGTTGGAAGCGTCCGACATGTGAAAAGAGTGGGAAGAGAGGTCACCCAACGGATTGCTGTCTGTATGCGTGTCGTGAATGCGGAGATGTTCAGGACGCTGGATAATGCCCCATGGAAGAAATCTTCAACCAGATACGCAAATGGTATGATCCGAATCGACACGCCGGGCTGTTCCTCGAACAAGTTGAGAATATGTTAAACTAGGACACTCACTGGGGTGGAATCCGGTACGAGCCTAGCGTCCTATATATTGCATCTACGCCTACGTGAACGAGGCGACGGAAGATCGAGGTAGGAAGGAGTCGGATCTACGCGGTAGTACATGTAATTTGCATTCGTACACCGCCAAGATCGCGAGTCTTCCCCAGATCAGCGAATTCAGCAGATCCAATACGGAGGTTGCCTTAGATCTCAAAAGGGGAGAGTCCCGGGGATATTGGAAACGTCATTCCCCGGGGAAATGGTTCCGACAAGCCAAGATCTCAGGAAGGATCAATGATGAGAGAGCAATCCTCCTTCTAGATACTGGCGCTGAGGTATCAATCTTGGATACCGCCTTTGCTCGTAAGGTGGGATGCAATTTTGACACTAGTCAGAGACAGAAATGTGTGGAAATCGGTGACAACGTATTTACTACGGAAGGAAGAACCAGGATCAAGATCACGTTAGCGGGATATCTGGTGTTTATTTTTGACATTTGGATCGGAGATCTTTCGGGACAAAACGCGATCCTGGGCATGGATTTCATGGTCCCAGCCGGGGTACGGATGGACCTAGCCGACGGATCGATGCGATTACCCGACGAAGTTGGAACACCTCTTAATGGTCGTAAGAGGCTGTATGGCAAGAAGGTGAGATCAGTGATTCTCGAACGAAATCTACGAATCCCGGTTGGTCGGTCGGAAGAAACAGCGGCGAGGATCAAATTGTCGGCCACAGAGAAACTGTGGGTGACCAGAGGAGAACGATGGGTACCGACAGTGATGGAAGGTCCCGGTCAGATCCGCTACCTGGTGATCTCGAACATTGGAGAAGAGATCCTATGGCTGGACCACCGTCTGGACGTTGGTATGATACTGGATCAAGACAAAGTACCCCGATCCCCAGGGTTCGTGTCCGTCGGGTCACGTCGCTACCGGGAATGCCAGAATCTGGCATTGGAATCGACGGTGGATGCTCGATCAGAGCCTCCTCAACTTATAGAGGACCCTGCGGAGCCGGCAGTACAACGACCAACGTATCCCACACCACGATCGATACTTCGCCGGACGGAAACCGTTGATATCGACGGGGATCGAACGTGGATATCGACCCTAGAAATTCGATCGAGGGCGGGAATGGCGCACCTCAGATCGAGGCAACGCTCCCTACCCCTGAAATGTGCCATCTATCTACACCAACGACTAGCCCCGATCCCGATCGATACCTGAGCGGCGATGCTGGGGGCGGTGGGATAAGTGAAAGCATGCCGGGCCAGGTTACCGATCGTTCTGGTACCAAAGGTATCGAGCCGAAAACGGGAAATCCGAGCTGTCAAACCCAGATCAAACTCGATCCCGGCGAAGGATTTGACGTAAAATCCCCAGTGGCTTCTGGGTCGTGCCCATGACGGATCGGGCTCGCGAGACCTCAGCATTTATCACCCCATTTGGATTATTCGAATGGAGCCGCATGCCTTTTAGCCTGAAATATGCCCCTCAGATTTATCAACGCCTCGTAGACAACGCGCTATATGGATTTCTGAAAATCTCGCGATCAGGCGACGCCGGGGCTACAACGGACGTGTTCCAGACAGGGATCGCGGACGATTCTGATCGTGGGTCAGTGTTGGGACGGAGATCATACATTGACGACATCATGATCGCAGCAGAATCGTGGGATCAAATGTGCCAAAGGGTGGAAGATCTGTTAGATGCTTGTGATAAGTGGAATCTATCGATCAGTGTGGCGAAGAGCTTCTGGGGCGTGGATAAGGTAGGATATCTTGGGCACCGAGTGTCGATCGGAGGTCTCGAGGCGAATTCAAAAGATCTGAAATCTCTGACCGATCTGCCATGCCCCGGGTCACTTCGATCCATGCAGTAGTTCCTGGGTAGTTTGAATTACTACAGTCGATTCATTAAAGACTACGCGATCTACGCTTCGGTGCTATCTGAACTACGTGAGGTGGAGTTCGCAGAACTGGAGAAACGATCGGATCTGAGGGAGATCATGTACCAGAACGACCCAATTGCACGAGACCATGGCCCACCGGAGCTGCAGCTGGTGGAACCATTAGATGAGAGCTGAATCAGCGCATAGGGCCTTCATCACCCTGAAAACCAAGATCGCGACAACCCCAATTCTCCGTCTCTTCGACGAGACGAGAACGCTGGTAGTTATTGTATTTGCCAGTGATTGGGCGATATCCGCTTCGTTGACGCAAGAACACGACGGGATCTACCATCCGGTTGCGTTCGCCAGCCGCACCTTGAAGCCGAACGAGTTAAATTACAATGTGACCGAAATGGAGGTGTTGGCATTGCTGAGGATCTTGGATATCAACTACAATTTACTAGTAGGACGCGAGATCCGGGTCCTAACGAGGCATTCCACGTTAGCCTGGCTGTTCAAGTCGACAGGATTACAGGGTCGCCTAGGGCAATGGTCAGCCCTTCTGGCCCCGTGGACTCTCGAGATCACGAAGTGCACGAAAGGCGAGGACGAGATACTGGGGGCGATCGCTGCCAGCATCACCCCGAGGGCGAAGATGGACGACGCTCTGACCGACATCGCTCCCGGAAGGAACCTAAACGCCGGATCCAAGCGCCGATACCCACCGTATATCGAGAAGAGGAATTAGGGGTGGTCAGGATTGACGGATCCGCTCGAGTGAAGCGTGGCGGGGGCGCGTTCAGTGCGATCGTGTGGAGTCTCCCCGGATGGAAGGTGGTCAAAGCTAGATCGGGCTATCTCGAGAGTCTCACCGTAAACGAGGCAGAATATAACGGCCTGATCCCGGGACTCGACATGCTAGAGAACCTAGATCGCAAGCGCCTAGTGATCTGCGATGAATTCAACTTATTGATCCGACAGGTACGGGCCTTAATCGACTGCAAAGCACCCGGACTGACGCTACTGAAGCGGAAGGCCCTCGTTCGCTTGCGGAAATGGAGTGCTCATGAACTAGTGGAGATGTAGAGATACTGGAATGGGAGCGCCGACAGTCTACGAATGCCGTTTTGCAACGACAAGGCGGGATCGAAGTCCACAGAGGGCCCTAATACCAAGTCCTGCTCCCTCTGAACCGGTTAGACGAAATCTTGATTCAAGACCGAGAACCCAGTGGTGCGAGTTGCAGCGCTCACCACCCGAGCCTCTCGAGTAAGATCGCCCGCGGAGTCACGCAAGAGAACCTGATCCGGGAGATGCGGGTCGATCGGATCAAGCGGGCTCAGGAGGAGGAAGTCTGGATCGCAGGCATGAAGAAGTATCTGAATGGAGCGATCGCAGACCTCACGCAAGCAGAAGCAAGGTCGTACGGCAAAATCGCTGGTGACTACGAGGTGGACGAACAGGATCTACTCTTCTATTGCCCTCCCACGCCGAGATCGGGGGAGGATCGCGATCGGTTGCTGAGATTGGTAGTCCCCGAGACACTGCAATCGGACGTCTTACATCATTATCACACTACGTTGGAAGGAGGACATCAGGGAGTGGGGCATACCTACCAGCGGATCAGGGATCACTTCCACTGGAGAGGATTATATCGAAGCGTACAGCGATATGTGGGAGTATGCGTGGACTGTGAAACGGAAAAAGGAAAACCGGTGATCAGGGGCAAATCATCGGGGAAATTGCAGGCGACGTACCGTTCCAGATCATTGCGATGGATCACATACCGTCGCTGCCCAGATCCCACAAGGGAAACTCTGAGTTATTGATCTGGGTCGATCTGTTCACGGAATACGTGATCGCGAAGGCTAACTCGTCCCGGTCGGCCCAGACGGTCGCGGAATCATACGAAGAATGTGTATTTCGACGATTCGGTGCCAGTGAGATGATCCGGCATGATCGAGAACCCGTCTTCATATCCGACTTCTTCCGGGAGTTTAACAAGATCCTAGGCAAATGGCAACAAGCCACGATGGCGTATCGGCCGCAAGCCAACGGGACCGCCGAGAGAATGGTGCAGATTGCGACCAGGGCGCTCAAGATGTACGTCCGCGAGCTCGATCAGAAGGATTGGGTTGAGTATGCCGAACGACTTACCTTCGCGATCATTACGGCCCACGATCGGATCCGAGGGGATACCCCTCATTATCTGGGATCCGAGATCGACGTTAGAGGCTACACTGCCAGTCGGATGTAGCAGATGGCGCGATCGAGACGCGCGGCGATGGCGTTGTCGGGTCCAGCGATATTATCAGCAGTCCCGAGAGCAAGTCAACGCCAGATTGAGGGAAGCCATTGCGGATCGGGCCAGCCGACACAATGAGGACGCCGGATCGCACCAGATCGAGGCTGTATCTCGCGTCTGGTTGTACCTAGACCGGGGGAAGGTGGGATACGCGTGGAAATTGGCTCACCTGTGGCATGGGCCATTCCGGGTTGCTGAAAAGATCAACGAGCTCAGCATCAAGCTCGATATCGCGGGTACTGGGTACCAGATCTTCCCAGTAGTTCACGTGTCGAAGCTGAAATTGGTCAAGGACTTTTCGGATCGGCCGCGATTGGAACTCATGGTGGACAAATCGGATCACCTCGATTTCGATGAGATTCTGCTTCCGGAGGATAGCCGGGTTCCAGACCTCGGCGCCGACTAGTACGAAGTCTAACGGATCTCGGATGTGCGGAGTGGGAAGAAAACGCGATTCGGTCGGATCTACCGAGAATTCCTGGTGCATTGGGTAGGATATGACGAGCCGATCTGGGTCGACGAATCCGATCTCAATTACGGGGCAATACGGAACGCCTTCCTGCGAGAACGAGCTAATCATAACCGCTTCAATGTGATGCAATCACATGAGGAGATGTAAGGAGGACGGGATGAGATTGTCTCATCGTCTCGACCCCGAGGAAGTACAAGTCGGATGAGACTGAGATCAGAAGTTCATGTTGTGTATGTGCATATAGGAAATGTCGACCTTCGCAAGGAATCTCGAAAGGCGTGGTGAGTCTGAAGCGAGATCGCTTGGGGAGAGCGACGAAATAGCAAACAAGCATAAGATGTGGCTGAGATTTGAGAATTACGGCAAGGAGAAATCGCAACGCGGCGGGCGAGTGGGGATCACGGAAGTTTTCCCCGAGGTGAAGTCAGATCCACGATCAAAGGGCCACTGGAGGGTTGAATTTGTTCGCGAGACGAGGGATCTGCAGCGATCGATGAGCGGTACCGGGATCGGGGTAATGGTTCTGCCAGGGGTCCGCCTGATCGCACTCAAACAGGGCCGTGATCAGGTCGTTCGGCTCGGGTAGATTCGCGGTCAGCTGTGCGAGATTGGCTGCCCTGGAGACAGATCTGGGATACCAGCCCACACGATCCTGGGTCGACTGCAGGAGGGGGAAGTAGGGATTGAGAAGGAGGTCGATGTCGGCCCACTGGCTCCTCTTCATCGGGAGCCCGCCCCCAACAGATTCCGCCAGCGGCCTCCAACACGGATGCGCCGCTAACGCCGATCCTGGTGGTAGACGAAGAAATCAAGGTCCGCGGCGGCCATCGCTTTCTTGATCTCGAGGTAATGGGTCAATTCTCAATACGCTATCAGGTGACCTTTCTCCAGGGCGGCATACGACACGGCGATCCGCCACAGTGGGGTGCTAGCCCGCCGGTGCAAGTTGTGGTCGAAAATCAGTGGCGTGGGGCGGTTCTGTCGAAGTATGCGCCATAGTGCCGTAGCCATCAAGGCCAACACGTTGGCACCAGTTACAGCTCGGAACGGTAACCAGTCACAGGTATGGGCGCCCGAGCATAGGGCGTCCGAGCAGGGAACAGAAAGCCGGGCGGGATCGGCAACCTCTTGGTCAAAGTGGACTTAATCATGGCGATGATCGGTATGGACCCCACGATAGACGGATCCCACGGGGTGATCTCGGCTGCCGTGAATATCTTGATTGTGGAATATTGGGGAACACTCGCCTCGGCAGGAAATAACGGCGGACTCCGTTGGAGAGGCGAGCCACCACCAGGGGAACCACCACCTGGACTTCCCCCATATACATCGAACGAGTCACCCAGGAGAGCGTAACCCGCCCGCCGTTGGGTACACAAGGTGAGCAAGATCACAACTAGATCACGGGTCATCGGAGGCCCCCTTCGTTAGTCGGTGTCCGGGTGCCAGTGGTATCGGGAACCGCAACTACTAGGTTTTCACGGATTCCCCTTCGCCCCACAGACAGCGCCTTCTTCGCAAACACTTGGGGAAAACGTAACGGATGTCTTCTTCACAGTCGTCTTCGTCGAATTTGCCAGCAATTACCTTTTTGGTTTTGGGCAACAATCGCTCGGTGATGACAGCCAGCACACCATGCGCTTCTTCGTAGAAGTCCATCTCGAAACATTTGTCAATAACAATCTCCAAACTTTGAACAGGCGCCAACTTCCCTTGAACAAGCTTATTTGCTGTCTTTCGTCCTTCGCCGATACGCTGTTTTTAGTAGTTTGTTTTGTTGTTTGCGCACTTTCGGCCGACCTAGAGACGACGTACTCTTTATTATTCGAAATGGCTCCGACGTCTCAGATGAACCACTATTTTTATGTGGGCGTTTGGCTGGTTTATCTGACTTCTCGTCAAGGTCCTTATCATCAGGGCATGGTTCTGTGATGAGGCAGTTTCCCAGTTTTCAGGATAACCTGATTTAGGAGTGCGACAATGGAGATCCAGAGATCTTGATTAGTGGAGGTGGAACAGACGCGACAATTTGTGGAAAGAAAGTTGGATGTGAGTGGTGAGTGTGTGGAGAGTGTGTGGAGAGCCAAGGATGGGCCCTTGGGCTCTGGAAGCACGCGTTTCAGTGATGTACACTCTGGAACGCACATGTGCTCGGTCCGGAACCGGCCCCGTCCTGAACACAGGTTGCCAAGAAGAAGCTTAAATTGTCTGTGTGAACGTATCGCTGCAGACAACCTGTATTGCCTTGGTTCAAGGCACCAAATAACACCACCCCAGACCGCAACAACCCAAAATACACCGCAAGACACCCCAAGACAGTCAAGAACTACATTGTGCGGATTATTCAGTGTCCAAGAACACTGTGCGAACATGTTATGACTACGATGGAATGCGAATGGACCTAGAGACCAACGGTCCTGACCTTCAATAGTCTGAAACGAGCCTCATCCCAGGGAATTTGGGCCTCGTTCCAGACATCCCAAGACTGGTTTCAGAGATTATCGATTACCAAGAGCATTACCAAGCTATCAAGACACTAGAACAACAAACCCTAGATGTCCTACGGCTGTGAGTGGTATGTGAGACCAAAACTCCTGTGGATAGAGGACCAGTTTCAGGGCAGAAGAGACGACCCAAAGGCGTGGAGGTTCAAGGTTGACGACAGCGAAGCGCACCCACGTCATACAAAGACCAAGTGAATTCCCCCCAAAGGTATACAGAACACAAGATATTACCAGAATGATTTAGAAAGAAGATAGCCGAAGTATAAGAGTGATAAACAGAGTTAGTTTTACCAAGTTAAGCGCAAGTCGAATACGTTCGAGAACCCGCTAGCGAGGGCACGTGCTGAAGGACACCGCGTACTTCCTCCGAAGCATCAAGTCCAAATTGCCTGTGGGGATCGGGCGCGACGGCGTTGCAGAGTTGATCCACGGCATTCCTCCCAGTTGAACGCACTGAGAGAAGGTAAGAGTGGTGTTCTCATTTCAGGTTAACGATTCTGCTTGAAACGTTTAGTAGTCCCCTGCAAGTTTATAAGTAGACGGCATTTCAGAGATTTGACAGTATTGTATCCCTCCTAGAGGGTGGTGCGTGTGAAGAAAGGAGTGCGCTTCAGATTGACCAGTGTCTAAAGCGTATACTCAGTTGACTGGTGATAGACCCACTGTTCAAGGGTTTCAAAGAATAAGTAACGGCTGTATATTTGTATATTTTACTCTGTACTTTTGCTATCTTCCGAGGGAGTTCTTGGGCTTTGTTCCTAGTCTAATAAGGGGGCGTTTCAGACATTAAACGTCCAACCCGACATGCTCAGTGCCTACATTAACCACCAACCCGGCAGCTTGTCAGGCTGCCACCAAGATCGAACCCAAAGGGATTCACAGGGGTCACACGTCGACCCTGGAGCGTTCGCGTTCTCGAGTTTCTGACCCCAGTACCAGAGAGTTGGTGAACTCTTTGGACCCCCTGGACTACCGCACTATACAATTGCGGCGAAAAAGGTTCACCGACCTCGCCACAAATGGTGCGCGTGCCCGGATCTTTGGTGCCCTAGATTTCACCGTGGTTGGTTAAGTAAGTAGGAAGTGAGTGTATTGGTTAGTAGTTAACTGCCGAGTAGTTGTCTATGATGGGACCAAAACACGCGCAGAAGAAGGCGGGACGCGGAGACGACGGACGAGAAGATGAAAGTCCGCGTCGGTCGCGTCGAAAGCAGGGGCTGCCACCTCTGCAGTACAAGGACCTGGACGTCGTTGTCCGGGAATCGCGTGCGACGAAGAAGGCAGCTCAAGACGCGGAGAGAGATGTGGCTCAGAAGTAACCGGTTTCTGAGCCAGCTGCCGGGGACGACCTAGCGTTGTCCAGCGTGGCAAGTCTGGAAGCACCGCTCTCAGTGCCTGGAACGACTTGCGTTGAAGGCGAGCCGGCTCGGGATGAGTCGGCTCAGGCGTCTGTGGGAGGCGTCGATGTGGTTGAGCCCCCGGTGGAAGAGGCGAGGTCAAGATGTGGATGTGGCGCCGCTCGAGGAGAAGGCGCCACCTGCGGTGAAGGCAGAACCGAAAGTTCAGGACCTGACGGCCGATGACTCCTTGCCGGAGTCGGAATCGAAGAAGATCGTTCGACGAACCGTCGTACGTGTGAAGTCGGAGCCAACGTCGGTTCACGGAGCGGCAGAACTCGGAACGGCCGCACAAGCAACCTCGGGTTGTCCCAGAGTCCAGCCAAGCGGACGTGTTAGCGAAGGCTTATGTCGCACACCAAGTGCACCGCTGGGAGCAAGTTCCCTCTGAACGAGTGTTTCCACCACAAGTGGCATACGCGTGGTCTGAAGTACCTGACTATGCATTGTGGTTTGAGGCGGCCAAAGCAGTTTCAGACTTCGTGCTCCAGCAAGCTTGCCTGGAGGATAGGGACGAAGCTTGGATCTCTGAGTTACGCCCAGAACGCCGCGGTTTCGGACGCGTCCAAGACCTGGTAGCGATCCAAGTCCCGGTCACCTTGCTGGAAGCCCGCCAGTGTGCAGCTGTGCTCTGTTCTTCGAAGCAGGATCCCAGTTCAACAATGTCGTCCTGGAATGGTTCCGGACCCACGCTGTGAATGTCGGCCTGGACCAGATTCGCTTCGTGACGGAGACTATTCATTGCTTGTTCCCTGTGGAGTTCATCGAGTGGAAGAAAGCAACGATGGGCGTGTTCTGCGAGGTGACGCCAGGCCCGGAACTGCAATCAACGGTTCTGAAACCAGAAGCCCAAGGCGACTCGCCAATGACAGATGCGGAAACCAGCTTTCTGGGGACAGAGTTTGCGTCGCGCTTCAGAGTGACCGGAGTCCGGACCGCGAGGGGTTCTATGGCATCATCGTCAGATGGCGAGCCTGAAGTCAAGCGACATCATAACGCTCCGTCGACTCCGATGTCCAGTGTCTCCATGCGG